TTTAAAGCGTGTATGTAAAAATAAAAAGTGTTATGTCAAATAAAATCTAGCAAAGAACATTTATATTTTAACAATTGCAGTCTAAAAAAAAAAAAAAAATCATCTTATTTCAACATTTTTTGGTTACTTTACGTGAAGAATACAATCCTTTTTTAACGATACTCGATTGTAGTCAACCTGACATCCGTTCTGTCTTGTTTCTAATAGCACATTTTTAACTTCACAAAAAAGATTTAATATATTTAATAAGAAATTTTTGCTACTTTCTGAATTAAATCGTAGTTCATAACTAGCAGATATATAAAGAAGTGCTATATTAAAAATGCTGTAAAACGTTTTCTTTCATGTCTTAAAGCTCATACTAACAAATAAAAAGTGTTACTTTCAATAAAATCCAGCAAATAACATTTATATTTTAACCACTTCAGTCCAAGAAAAGGAAAAAAATCATTGTATTACAACATTTTATTGTTACTCTACGTGTAGAATTCTATTCTTTTCCAACGGAACTTGATTGTAGTCAACCTGACATCTATTCTGTCTCGTTACTAATAGCACATTTTACAGTCACTATAAATTTTTTTGTATATTTAAGAAAAATTTTCGCTACTTTCTGAATTAGACCGTAGTTCAAAACTATCAGTTACATAAAGAAATGCTATATAACAAAATCTGTAAAACGTTTTGTTTCAAGTTATAAAGATCATACTAACAAATCAATAGTGTTACGTTCAATAAAATGCAGCAAATAACCTTTATATTTCAACAACTGCAGTCCAAAAAAAGGAAAAAAATCTTTTTAATATAAAATTTTTTTGTTACTTTACGTGAAGAATTCAATTCTTTGTTAACGAAACTCGATTGTAGTCTACCTTACATCTATTCTATTTTGTTTCTAATAGCACATTTTACCGTCACTTTAAATTTTTCAATATATTTAAGAAAAGTATTCCCTGTTTTCTAAATTAAACCGTAGTTCAAAACTTTTAGATACATAAAGAAATGCTATATAACAAAAGCTGTAAAAC